TAAATTAATCCATGGTGTAAAACATGATGACTGACGCCAAATGTGATTTACCGAAAAACAATGGTGAAATACCTTTTCGTTTCCATTTAGAATACATCGAATACCAAAAAATCTGACAGTGGATAGGTTAGTTGTGCAGCCACTTCAAGAGATATTTTGCATTCGGATCTGGATGATCGCTCAGTTAGTTATATGCTAAAGGAACTTCTGCCACTGCAACGAGATTTCCATAGAGCTGACTCATATTCCAGACACCGCCCATAGGGTCACTAGTAGGTTACTCATAGACGACTTCAGTAATAACAATAATACCGATGCCACGAATCAAACTGAGCCAAAAGCAAGTCGACAGTTGTGTCACCTAGCGCTGGACCTTAAACACAGTGCTCTCCAATTTCTAGTACATTAGCTATGCAACTGTCGTTGCCACGACGAAGGGCACTGACAAACGCCCTCAAATTAAACATGCATTGCTGCACAAGATGGGTGGCCAGTGTATGGACTGAAGTGGACCAGTTCTTTGAGAAAACCACAGCATCTTCCGATGGGGCAGTTGGAGACGGAAGTGATGGAGCCTCACATCCAGTCCTTCAACTCAGCGTAAATCAATGTCACTACCTCATCTCATTGTTCTACTAATATTACGAAAGCAATACTGATTTCCCTTCTTGCCTTGCACACGTGATATTTACCGCTAGGTATTTGATACACCTTTCACCCAGATGGAGTAAAAAATTGTTTTGAAAGCAGGCTTTTTAATCGCCTAACGTTAATCCCATGGATTTACTTGGGATTCAAGTGTAGGAATCCCAACCATTGACGCATTGTGCACAAAACCAGGTTAGCCTGGCACATGTAAGACGCTCTGAGAAGGCACTCGTCCCGTGGTTCGGGCTAGGCGACCACACCAGAAGGTCATCAGCTTCACGCACTAGTCACATTTGAGGGGATTTGAGCGGAACGTGACCGAAGCGACCATGGGGTTCGGTCACACGATCGAAGATTGCTGCGCAAACGAGCGTCGGGTGCGTAAGGCTTCTGCTTTGCACTTTCAATCAGGCTGACTCCAAACCTTTGTCATGGGATCTAGAAAAGCATTCCTCTTGTGGACTAAGAGAAGTTTATTGAGTAAGCTATGTAGAACACACTGTTGCTTTTACAGACATAGCTTGGAAGATTTACTTGCCCCAGCTTCTTTGAAAATTTTTCGATGGCACGCGTGTCGCCGTGGGCTAAGTAGTTACAAGGCCAAAAAAACCGAGTGTGCAGTAGATGCTTGTATCTAATTATTTTCAAGCATAAGGAAAGAATAGGGCAACTTACCTACACTTTACTACAAGACCGTAGTTTCATAAAATTTATGCCATCTACCCTTGCTCAGTAAATCAGTTGACAACTTAGGCGAGCGGTGGTAAAGCCCGTCGTCACCCAAAAACAATTCAATGAGGCATAGCACGTCGCCGGTGAGTGCGCTGGAGCCTTCATGGGGCATCACTAATGTAACTGTTAAATTAACCATGGCTTGGAATCACAGTCACAGAAAAGCCCTAGCTTCGATTTGATTTGGTGTGGACAAGACAGCCGACGCTGCGACATTACAAAAAAGTAGATATCCTGTTGGTTCTAAGCATAAAAACACAAGAGCAGTGCAGCCGAAATGCGGAAAATTTCAGAATATCAATTTGAATAGGACAAGATGGGTTAGTTACTAAAACTAAAATGGTGTACACTAACGACATTTATTCGTGAAATTCAGAATTCATGAAATTTCGTAGTTACAATTTAAATTCATGATCTGTTTTTCTCCGTATCTGACCGTCCAGAAGTTAGATGACCTTGCACTGACTCATGGTGAGTTATATTCAATGTTTAAATTATATATCTTGAAATGCGTACGAAACAGCGTGAAGTTAGACTTTGAATTAGGCAAAAAATATCTTTTTTATTGATTTGTTTCGGAGGGCTTCAGGCAATAATTTTATCCCCGACATCTAATCCCTGGCGTACGTATTTCTATCTTAGATTTTAACCCTGACCACACGTTATCGGTTAGGTTACTGGTGTATAAATTTTTTAGTTGCTACTGAAGAAACATAAAAACAAATAGAGTCGGCTCGAAAGCACGTTGAAATTTTGGTTTCTTTGAAGAAGTATTAATCTTGCGAATTTCTACCAAAAGCTTAATTTTGGAAAATCACACTTGGTCAAATTTCTTATTACTTTTTTACGAACAAAGAACGTGGACCTCTAACATTCTGTTTATTTTCTTGCGTCTTTACCACTGTTTCTCATCCAGTTGGCCGGAAACCCAAAAAACAGAAAGCTGATTGGTTGGATTTAGATCTGGCATCACCCACCATCGTCAGACCCACGTGGGGCTAAAATTAGTAACTCGGGTTGTCTGAGGTGTGGCAGATTGGTAGGCTGCTCGTACACGGTTGCGCTATTCCTGCACGCGTATGGGAATAGGGCACCGAGTTAAACCGGCATTGTTTGGCAATATTCTTGGACTTTAGCACTTTGGTGTAAACGCTGAGCACATGTAAAAATTGAAAGCAGCCAATTTGTGTAAATTGTATCCCAACGGAAAAAAATAACATGTCGTGGGTGTCTCGAGCTCAAAACTTAATAGGTTTCACACCAGTAGACCTGAAAAATATTCACGGGGATAATTTAAACGCCATTATCAGTAATCACCAACAAAGAACTTTTCGTATCAAAGATTATGGACTGGTTTTAATTAATGGAACATTCATCTAGATGCGATTCTCATAATCGATCAGCCAACGAAATTGTTCACACACGAACATTCTTTGGAACGGATAGTGAGTGAAGGTGAATGTATGGGAAGCACCGCTGTCAGCCGTTTAACGTTTGTTTAAATTAACATTGTGCTGCGAAACTGAAATTGTACGCTTCGCCGGTGATTGCAACAAAAGGCAGTTTAATAGGATCTAGCACTGACTAAGCGAAGTTTTTAAATGCGCATCATCAGACTACTACGTTTAGTACAATGTGTTCAAAATGAGTGCAGTGGTGCTCTAACAATCACCATAGCTGCTGTAGCTCACTCCAAGTGGATTGACATGTTGAAACACTGTTAAATAACCACTTTTCTTCAGAACCTGAGGAGATTACTGTTCAATTTTTGATGAACAGTGGCAACTTTTGAGGAACATGATATCAGAACATACTGAAAGGTACTATTTGAGCTAAGTAGGCCAACACAGACATGGAAAGTAATGAGAAAGGTGGAAAAACCGTAGTAACCTTATCTGTAAGATCATTGTTTCGAGGTAAGAAATTACCGACTTGGGCTAGGCTTAATTGCGACTTCAGCACAGCAGACCTTGAATTCATCCAGACGTTTCCAGCTCCAATGTAAATTTAACACATCCACAACTGACGTCTGTTTGCTTGGTGTGTGCGGATATAAAAAAGTGGTCTACGGGAAGGTGTGCGACAAAAAGTAGACTGTGATGACAAAAACTGATTCCATCACGGCATTTTTCACGTATGCGGAAGGACGTCGTACGGGGATAATATGCCATTGAAACTGGGTCCTACACGCTCAGACTAGAGATGAGTGAATTTTAAACAAGTTTCAGTGTATTTACTTTCAAAGACAGTCGCAAGCTACTTGTTCATGCAAAATCAACAAATATCACATCAATTAAATTTTTCGTGTGGCAGAGTTGCAATCTGCGTCGTAGATTTAGTTGAATCTAATTACGTTGACAAATAAGGTAAAAAGCGGTTTTTATACTCATTGCATTCATTGATCAATCTGCAATTGACTTGTTTAAAAAAAAACCTCTTTGTCTTGGCTTCTTCGCAAGTGACAGTGGATACTCCGAGGTTGGTCGACAACGAAATGCCACCATCTATGAAAGCCTGTGATGTAAACTTCGAGTGGAATCCGAAATAGTGGTTGGATGTATGTCTTAGTTTGCAAACCATGTTAAATACCAAAGACAGTGCTGCTAGATACTTAAGCAACTTAGAATAGCGCATTCACATTTTTATTTGCAAATGCCCATTATTAGTGTAGGCAGATTGTAAACAGCATGCATTGCGCAACTGGTTGGCTCGCTTTAAACGTTACAAACATGAAAAACTGAACACAAAACAGTTACAAACATTCAGATTTCACGAACAATTCAGATTCGGCTAAAGGCCACCACAGGATTGTTAGTAGTCCAAGTTCCTGATCAATTGTTCTGCTACTAATGTAAACTAGAATTATAAAGAAAACCTGTTTAATTAAGTGTGTTAAGGCACCCTCTACATCAACGAAGACTGGCGTTTATCGGCAGATAAACATCGGCAAGTGTACCGCATAATTACATACCTGTTTACAGCCAAACAGGACGCCACCCTGTTAAAATGAATGTGATTGGCCACGCTTACGACATCTGGTACGCTCATTACTGCACTTGAACGTTGTTAAGACACGTAACTTCATTTGGTTCTCGTCTAAGTAGGCTTACCTGGAATTCCATGTCCTTTGCCCACTAATGCACTATTACAGGTATATTCTGCCTGCTATGCTGCACTATGTGTTGAAGAATTCTGAATTCGTTAGCTGGGTGACGTATTTGTTGGCTGGTGAATCGCGTGCAGAGTAAGAGTTAATTAATTGAAAACGCATGGAAGCAAATTTAGCAAAAAAGCAATTTTACGATAGACGTGAAAGTATGTCGCGAAATGTGGGGTCTTTACTTATTTTTGAGATTGTCATGCAAATGTTTCAGCACCATAACTACTTCCTTGAGGCTATTTGGGTTTCAAAACGATCAGCATCTTAGTTCGTGGATTTTAGTTGAAGTGCAGAAAATGACCTGGGTTAGGACGTGCGATAGCACAGACAACGATGTCTCCCCATCAGTTGAAACCCTACTTTAGTGAGCGATATAAAGGGCATCTGGCAACTGTGACTTACCCTTCCCCTACCGATCTTGAGGTTTTTCACCTACAAAACGAGCACAGAGAAGTAGTGAATGCTGGTCAGTGAGTTGGGAGAAATGCGGTTTCACAACGCGGCAGATGGTGAGCTCGGGGGCAGTTTTGACGACGGTGAATTCGTCGAAGATTAATTAAAATCTGCTTTTACTAGAACTCATGTACCAGCGTCGACTCGAGTGTTCAAAAGTCCGATCGAACATATATGTCCATTCTACTAATTATTGGCACTACTGACACCGGGTATGAGGTCATGTTGGCGATGCTTCAATCAGGCTTTATGTTGAAGTTAAAAACTTAGAGAGCAATATGATCTAATAGCATGAATATTAAAATGAGTCCCGAGTAACTAGTGTTAGAGAAAAATTACGCAATATTTATGGCTTTATCAATCTTGCAGCATTAAATATGACTGATGAATTGCAAGTAGTGTGTATATCATTTTAGATTGCGTAGACCGTTTGTGGAATATCTCAACTCACGTCGTGGTCTGCATCTTTGGCGGAGCTGAGGGTCATCGTGCTGAGGTGCTTCACGGGGATATTTCACTCACCGGAGACTTCTTGCTGTCTGCGAGTATGGACCACACAATCAAAATTTGGTGCCTCAACACACCCGAACTTGAGACCGCAATTAGGCGGTCGTTTAAGCCGGTGACCCAGGAGTAAGTAAATGCCTCTTTAAAGGGAACAAATTAAGCTCTCAACAAGTGGCAGAGTAGTGTGTGTGTGTGTGTGTGTGTGTGTGTGCAGACCCGCTTGAGGTGAGCGCTTGTCTCATCCTATCGACTAATCGGCATGCGCAGCTGAAACCAGAATGCTGTAGTGGACTGAGGGCGGTGTTGCGAGTGGTTTTTGCAACATTACTTGAAACATTAAAATATCGAGCACCAGAAAACGAGTGCCAAGTCTGTGTTCACATTACATGCCTACCACACAGTTAAGCCAGAGCTTGTGGCTTTCAACTTGGGCCTATAAAGCAGACGTCGACAAACCAGTCTGCAAAATTCGTCTTCGTGTCGAAGGCCTCTCACAAACCTACGAGCGTGGCAAAAGAGCCAGTTCAGCCCGACCCGCCTGATTCGAGGAGAGCGGAGGAGAAGAGCATGAAAAAGAACTCGCATAGCCGATGTTGCCTGTACAGGCTGCGTCACTACCACGTTTTACACAGCCGTCAACAGCGATGTCGGCTGCGAGCGTGGTTCCGTGTCTATGGCGTAGGTCATATTTCAGTCGAGAGTGGATCACCGTTCACGTGACAGTGCAGTTGTTTTCGCTGTGCCCATGGCGTCCAGAGCACAGTCATTGTGCTGGGTCATTACTTCGAGACGCGTGGCTCAAGTGCGACGAATGCGCACGTGCGTGGATGGTGTGGGCAATTCATGCCTGTTGTTGCATGATTGGAGAGTCACAAGTCTCGCTGTAGTGATGCCGATTAGATGCCCTCCCTTTGCAAGTGCAGCGGATTCACTCCGACACCTGTTAGCGCACGGTTACGGATACTTCGGTGCTACGGGGCTCAATGCAGTGTGTCCCACGTAGTTACAATGTAATGCGAGATTGCACATTCGGTTTGGCTTGCAGTGCGTTGCATAGCCTCACGAAGGCAAGTGGCCACAGCAGTGCAATTGCACTCAGCCGACAGCATGATGCCTCTGTCATCTTCAAACTCCTATCTACGGCGGCATTATTTTGCTCAATTTTGTAAGCGACTGAATCATCAGCAAATGTGGCCCAAATAACCGCGACATGCCACGTTCGTGAGTCGTGCTATCGACTCACGTGACTACCGCAGTGCGAACGATCATGTGACCTTAACGC